AGTATACTGAGTGTTAGGCCACTATACAGTGTGCTAAGCCAGTATACTGAGTGTTAGGCCCCTATATAGTGTGTTAAGCCAGTATATTGAGTGTTAGGCCACTAATTAATATCTAATACCCTTAGGATCATGGTAATATTTGATACCCCCGTCGGAACCATGGTAATATTGTATTTGATCCACTTGGGACCATGGCAATATTTGATACCCTCGGGCCTGTGGTAATATTGTATTTGATCCACTTGGAACCATGGCAATATTTGATACCCTCGGGCCTGTGGTAATATTGTATTTGATCCACTTGGAACCATGGCAATATTTGATACCCTCGGGCCTGTGGTAATATTGTATTTGATCCACTTGGAACCATGGCAATATTTGATACCCTTGGGCCTGTGGTAATATTTGATACTCTCAGGACCACAGTAATATTTGAGCTGAGAGAGAACAATTATTAGTCATGCTCACTTCATAGCTGCACTGACTGAAATAACTGACACTGCTTTGGCTGGAATTTTACTCCCAAAACAAGAACATCTTAAGTCTAACATTCACACTCCAAGAGAGAGAACATATAACTACAGAAGAATCTGTATAATGAAGAACATTTTAGTCTAACATTTACACATGGAGAGAGAGAACACAACACGAACATTCACACACGAAAAGAGAGAACACAACACGTAAGAGTTACCTTAATGCTTGGCTCCTTTGGGAGAAAAGAGAGGGATATGATTAAACTTTAAACATACTATGTATACACACAGTCAACATATATTGTATACCCTATTAGAGTAGTGGGATGTTAGAATATTAGTTACAATGCCATTATGTGTGATTAAACCACTGCAACATCACCCATTAAGATCAAATGTACAAAAAACCAGCGTTGAAACTAATAAAATGCCATTTTCTTGGGGGGAAGAGAGCCCTGTCAGCTTCCCGGTGCTATCCAGGCTGATATGTATCTATTAGCTTTCTGGCATCAGTCAAAGTGCATGGAATTCTTGCCTACCGGGGACCATGAGCCAGAACCTGGCCCCCCCCTCAGAGAGGCACGAGGAGCAATGGCCAATAGAAACTCTTGTATGGTTGGGAGCATTCTGTGTCTGCCATGGACTGGGTCTGGCACCCAGAAAGGTAGGCACCCCAAAACCCCTATTCTGGTGAAAATATTGCTACTGACAGCCGAACAAGTGGCCAGACCTCCCCAAACAAAAATTAGCAAACGAGCATGATGTCATCACGTTGGTTTGATTGATTGATGGGGTTCTGGGAGTTCTTCTACTCCCCAAGCCCAGCCCGAGGCCAGGCTTGAATTGTATGAATTTGGTCCACTAGGCTGTTGCTTGGAGCAGCCCGCAGACCCACATACCCACCACAGCCCGGTTGGTCCTGCACTCCTTGAAGGAAACAATCTAGGTTCCTCTTGAAGATGTTCATTGTTGAGACGATCCCAATTATTTAGGTGCTTTATCTTGTCTATGCATGCCGTATATGTTCTCTGTATTCCCTCTATTTCAGCAATCTTTCCTGCTCTGAAGGGGGAAGTGAGTACTGAGCAGTACTCAAGACAGGACAACACAAGTGATTTGAAGGGTACAACCATTGTGATGGGATCTCTGGATCTGAAAGTTCTCGTAATCCATCCTATCATTTTTCTGGCTGATGCAATATTTGCTTGGTTATGCTCCCTAAACGTTAGGTCGTCGGACATCATTATTCTGATTATATTCGAATGGTGACTGTCACCCTGAGACAAAGGGACAGAGCAACCATCAACCTTGCACAAAGCAAGAGGGGACTCAAGAGTCACATCCATCGGTCCACCAAGCCCCTGCAGGGTCTCCCAGGGCCCTTAGCCTTGGTATCACACTAAGGAAGGAAGCCCAGGCAGGGTACTGCTAACAGGTGTTCAAAACTACTAAGCAAACTTCTAAAAGCTGAAACCCCGGGATGTGTCCCCTCATGAGGGCCTAGCAGGGGGTAACACCAAGAACACAGAGATGGATATAGAAAGACCCCCAATTATAGAAAGGGGCAACCAACCAAAGGCAGACCCCCCTCACCCACCCGGCAGGAAAACAAAAACAAAAGAAACCCCCCCGCAAAAGGACAACGTACCCTCAGGCGGAACAGAGCCGGCCACTATGCCAGTACTAGCTGTGCAGTACCCGCATGCCTACCAGTTACGAAAACTACCTCCTACCCAGAGGCAAACAAGCGCAACAAAGACCCCAGCTGACTCCAAGGGCGGCCCAGTATCGAGCAGTAAAGGACACAGCGAAGGTAGGTCCCAAAGTGACTCGTGAAAGGTGGCCCCAAGCCCCAAGGGCAGTACTTACAGGGCATCTAGGGAAGAAATCCCTAGACGCATGCAGTTCGAGTACCATAGAATATTACTCCTGGCTCACACACCACCTGTAGAGACAGACCATGCCACAAGGCATAGTAACTGGAATCAAAACAGGAGTCAGAGGCACATGACCTCTCAGTATCACATCAGCCAAGAACTGCCAGTTGGATCACCGTTACGAGGGTGTGGGGCTCTCCTTTTCCCATCCTGGGAAGTGGGGGGGTTGCGCCGACAATGGTGCGGCAAAGTGATGACAAAATGCTCGTTTGCTAATTTTCGTTAGGGGGGAGTTCTGTTCACTCATTTGATTTTCGGTAGCAATATTTTCACCAGGATAGGGATTTGTTTTGGGGCGCCTACCTTTCTGGGTGCCAAACCTGGTCGATGGAAGACACAGAATGCTCTCAACCAGGGGGGGGGGGGGTTTCTATAGGCCATTGCTCCTCGTGCCTCTCTGATGGGAGGCCAGGTTCTGGCTCTTGGTCCCCAGTAGGCAAGAACTCCATGCACTTTGATGTCAGAAAGCTATTAGATACATATCAGCCTGGATAGCTCTGGGAGCTGATGGGGCTCCCCCCAGAAAAGATGATGCACTTCCAGAATGCCTCCATAACAACAAATATACTGTACGATGGAAACATTGCACCACAAGCATGACTCCATAACTACAATATGTAGTGAAAATGACACACTGCCAACATGCATCGGTTATGCATTCATAACAACAACAAATATACAACAAAGTGCATCATCAGCATGTCTTCCTAACAAATATACAACACGGCATACCGCCAGCATAACAACACATGGTGCATCACCAATATCCCTCCATTACAACCACAACAGCCTATTTGATCAAACTGTCACTATGGACTCCTACCTTCAGACCAGGCTATCACTGTATAGCAGCCAGTGCACATACAGTAGTGCATACTGTATAGCAGCCAGCACACATACAGTAGTGCATACTGTATAGCAGCCAGTGCACATACAGTAGTGCATACTGTATAGCAGCCAGCACACATACTGTAGTGCATACTGTATAGCAGCCAGTGCACATACAGTAGTGCATACTGTATAGCAGCCAGCACACATACAGTAGTGCGTACTGTATAGCAGCCAGCACACATACAGTAGTGCGTACTGTATAACAGCCAGCACACATACAGTAGTGCGTACTGTATAACAGCCAGTGCACATACAGTAGTGCGTACTGTATAGCAGCCAGCACACATACAGTAGTGCGTACTGTATAACAGCCAGCACACATACAGTAGTGCGTACTGTATAACAGCCAGCACACATACAGTAGTGCGTACTGTATAACAGCCAGTGCACATACAGTAGTGCGTACTGTATAGCAGCCAGTGCACATACAGTAGTGCATACTGTATAACAGCTAGTGCATAGTGTGTGTGTAGCATTCACATACATGTGTATAACAAAGACAGTGTGTATAAGAGACTTACACAGTGTGTATAACAAATACACAGTGTATGATTGTTGCAAGTTATTACTGAACTTAAGATAACAAAGCAAAGAGCCATGGCTTATGTTGTAATTATAACACTAAGGCTTGACATCATAACTTGTACAGTACACTCCTTAGTTGTGACATATGTACACACTAGTACAAGACTTGTCCCACTGTGGTTACAGGTCCCTCTCTCACTCCTCTCCTATGTACACACTAGTACAAGACTTGTCCACTGTGGTTACAGGTCCCTCTCTCACTCCTCTCATATGTACACACTAGTACAAGACTTGTCCACTGTGGTTACAGGTCCCTCTCTCACTCCTCTCATATGTACACACTAGTACAAGACTTGTCCACTGTGGTTACAGGTCCCCCTCTCACTCCTCTCATATGTACACACTAGTACAAGACTTGTCCACTGTGGTTACAGGTCCCTCTCTCACTCCTCTCATATGTACACACTAGTACAAGACTTGTCCACTGTGGTTACAGGTCCCTCTCTCACTCCTCTCATATGTACACACTAGTACAAGACTTGTCCACTGTGGTTACAGGTCCCCCTCTCACTCCTCTCATATGTACACACTAGTACAAGACTTGTCCACTGTGGTTACAGGTCCCCCTCTCACTCCTCTCATATGTACACACTAGTACAAGACTTGTCCACTGTGGTTACAGGTCCCCCTCTCACTCCTCTCATATGTACACACTAGTACAAGACTTGTCCACTGTGGTTACAGGTCCCCCTCTCACTCCTCTCATATGTACACACTAGTACAAGACTTGTCCACTGTGGTTACAGGTCCCTCTCTCACCCCTCTCATATGTACACACTAGTACAAGACTTGTCCACTGTGGTTACAGGTCCCTCTCATAATACTGTACAATGTGCTCTGGTTACCTTATTGTACCACAGTAACTCATAATCAAGTATAATGAACTTTGCTCTTCAAAAGTTCACCAGCATGTTTTTGCTTTTGGTATGTTGAGAGGCAAACCATGGGATCATTGGGATTAAATAGAGATGCAGATATAAGGTGGACAAAGTATGTGAGAATGCAGAGGTATTTGAACTGGAGACTTGTGACATATCAACAGGAATCCCCAACAACTGAACAGACTATATAATGGTACATGGAAATATAACACAGCATGATCCCGGCTTACCTTTAAATCCGTTCCATCACCAAACTTGACTACATTGAAAGAGGAGTTGACATGCACCTTAATGCTCTTCTCTGTCCGCTCAGGCGACCCCAGACGTGTCCCTGATCCGCCTCCGCCTCCGCCCCCTCCTCCGCCATTTTCCTGCAAAAGTGACAGTTATGGGCAACATTCTATGTCTCCATCAATGTCCAAATACCAACATAAGTAAACACTTCCTCAAAGATTACCTTACCGTGCAGTAAGAGGAACCACGACAGACACGTAGTGGTGACCACACACACTCAACAGACACGTAGTGGTGACCACACACACTCAACTGACACGTAGTGGTGACCACACACACTCAACAGACACGTAGGGGTGACCACACACTCTCAACAGACATGTAGTGGTGACCACACACACTCAACAGACACGTAGGGGTGACCACACACTCTCAACAGACACGTAGGGGTGACCACACACACTCAACAGACACGTAGTGGTGACCACACACTCTCAACAGACACGTAGGGGTGACCACACACACTCAACAGACACGTAGGGGTGACCACACACACTCAACAGACACGTAGGGGTGACCACACACTCAACAGACACGTAGTGGTGACCACACACACTCAACAGACACGTAGTGGTGACCACACACTCTCAACAGACACGTAGTGGTGACCCCACACACTCAACAGACACGTAGTGGTGACCACACACACTCAACAGACACGTAGATACCTGGTTGATGGGGTTCTGGGAGTTCTTCTACTCCCCAAGCCCGGCCCGAGGCCAGGCTCGACTTGTGAGAGTTTGGTCCACCAGGCTGTTGCTTGGAGCGGCCCGCAGGCCCACATATCCACCACAGCCCGGTTGGTCCGGCACTCCTTGGAGGAATAAATCTAGTTTCCTCTTGAAAATGTCCACGGTTGTTCCGGCAATATTTCTTATGCTTGCTGGGAGGACGTTGAACAACCGCGCACCTCTGATGTTTATACAGTGTTCTCTGATTGTGCCTATGGCACCTCTGCTCTTCATTGGTTCTATAGTCACGTTCTATAGTCACGTGACGTGTGTGGTCACGTAGTGGTGACCACACACTCAACAGACACGTAGTGGTGACCACACACTCTCAACAGACAAGTAGTGGTGACCCCACACACTCAACAGACACGTAGTGGTGACCACACACTCAACAGACACGTAGTGGTGACCACACACTCTCAACAGACACGTAGGGGTGACCACACACTCTCAACAGACACGTAGTGGTGACCACACACACTCAACAGACACGTAGTGGTGACCACACATACACGTTCATATCTTAAGAAGCACATTAACAAACTGGAAAAGGTGCAAGACATGCTACTAAGTGGCTCCCAGAACTGATGGGCAAGAGCTACAAGGAGAGGTTAGAGGCATTAAATATGCCAAAACTAGAAGACAGAAGAAAAAGAGGTGATATGATCACTACATACAAAATAGTAACAGGAATTGATAAAATCGATAGGGAAGATTTCCTGAGACTTGGAACTTTAAGAACAAGAGGTCATAGATATAAACTAGCTAAACACAGATGCCGAAGAAATATAAGAAAATTCACTTTCGCAAACAGAGTGGTAGACGGTTGGAACAAGTTAGGTGAGAAGGTGGTGGAGGCCAAGACCGTCAGTAGTTTCAAAGTGTTATATGACAAAGAGTGCTGGGAAGACGGGACACCACAAGCGTAGCTCTCATCCTGTAACTACACTTAGGTAATTACTCTTAGCTAATTACACACAAGAGTTGTTACATTCTTGTACAGCCACCAGCACGCGTAGCATTTTGGGCAAGTCCTTAATCCTATGTTCCCCAAAATACGACCCGTCAAATCGTTTAACAACCAGGTAACCATTTTACTGTTGGGTAAACAGAGGCTACAGTTAATGATTGGCGCCCAGTAACTCCTCCCCGGCCAGGATATGAACCCAGGACAAAGCACTCGCAAAACGCCTGGCTAGTGTCTTAACCACTACACCACGGAGACTTTCAACTTTGTAATTCTTTATTCTTTCTGGTAGATAGTATATATATATATGGTGAACATTTCTGATACTAAAATTGATCCGTGTGGTACTCCACTAGAACCACATCTCCAGTCTGATACATTGCCCCTCATTACTGCCCCTCATCTTTGAGTCAGAACCATTGTTCCTCCATGTCAGCAGTCTCCCTGTCACCCCTCCAGTATGTTCCAGTCTCCACAACAACCTCCTGTGTGGGACTCTTGGCAAAAGCCTTTTTAGATCTAGATAAATCAGTCAACTTAACACTTTCTTTCCTGCAAGATCTTCAAGGCTCTATTCATAAAAAGTTTGTACCAGGTAGATTTGTTACACAAGATCTTCCTATTTGAAAGTCATACTTTCTATCTGTTATTTCATCATTTCTTTCCAGGTATTCTACTCATTTAATTTGAATTATTTGTTCTAGTGTTTTGACTATCTCGCTTGCCAATGGTACAAGCTGTAATGTAGAAGGTTGCCATTTTGAAGATTGGAATAATGTTCACCTTTTTTCATATACTGTACTGTATCTGCTAAGATTTCTGTTAATAAAGATATCTGAAAAATCTATTGAAGTGGAATTCTCAGCTTGTGTGGCATTCTCTCTCAACCCAAGGGACTGGCTTGATACCTGCTTGATGGGGTTCTAGGTGTTTTTCTACTCCCCAAGCCCGGTCCGAGGTCAGGCTTGACTTGTGAGAGTTTGGTCCAACAGGCTGTTGCTTGGAGCAGCCTGCAGACCCACATATCCACCACAGCCTGGTTGGTCCGGCACTTCTTGAAGAAAACTATCTAGTTTTCTCTTGAAGATGTTCATGGTTGTTCCCGCAATATTTCTTATAGTCGCTGGGAGGATGTTGAACAACCGTGGACCTCTGATGTTTACACAGTGTTCTCTGATTGTGCCTATGGCACCCCTGCTCTTCACTGGTTCTACAGTGACACCTTGGCTTACAAATGCCCCTCTTTATGGACGTTTCGGGTTACGAGCCGAATTTCTTCTTAAAATTCAAATTAGGTTACGAACTTTGCCTCGGGAAACATAGTTTGTTGATACGCGTATGGCCGACCTAGCACATGGTGGTACAGCGGCCTCGCCTCAGTTTACCAGTGCCTCCCGCCTAGTGACAATCACGCCTGAATGCCAAACAATTTGTAAAGAATTTCAGTGTTTTTTAGATTTTTGGGTATTTGAACATAAAAGTAATTATTATATATCTCGCCATGGGTCCCAAGAAAGCCAGTGGTAAGGTTCAACCTAAGAAAATAGTTGTGAGTAGAGGATGTCCCTTCTTCATTAAGAAAATGTGTGAAGTATGTGAAGAACTGCAAAGTTTCGGTGAAAAACTCACCCAGAGAAAGGTGTAGCAGGCCGTTGCATTGACCTTTAAAATAATAATGTGATGTCTCACTACAGACAAGTGTTAAAACATAGGGAAAAACAATTGTCTTTAGACAGATTCTTAGTAAGACAAGCAAGCAGTGAGCCACAACCAGGTCCTATTGGAACTCCTGCAAAACGTTGGAAAGAGAGAGTACCCAGAGAAGTCATCACTGCCTGATGTCATAATAGGAGACTCTCCTTCCAAACACTAACACGTCTCCTCCTCCCCTCCCTCTCTCCTCACTGTCTTCCATATGCCAACAAGAGTCATCAATAAAGGTAAGCAATAACTTGTACAGTACATACTTTAATACAGTACTAATGATTTGGGTGAATTAGGTATAAAATTTACTTTGAAGTTAATATTTTTGTGAATGTGGAACGGATTAATTCAATTTACATTATTTCTTATGGGAAACTTCGCTTCGGTTTACGAACTTTCGGGTTACAAACTGTCTCTGGGAAAGGATTAAATTCATAAGCTGAGGTACTACTGTATTCTGCATTTTCTTCTACATCATTCACTCAAGTATGTTCTTATTTTACTGTGTAGATTAGGGACCTGGCCCTCCAGTATTTTCCACGTGTATATTATTTGGTATCTCTCTTGTCTCCTTTCTAGTGAGTACATTTGGAGAGCTTTGAGACAATCCCAATAATTTAGGTGCTTTATCGAGACTATGCGTGTCGTATATGTTATCTGTACTCCCTCTATTTCAGCAATTTCTCCTACTTTGAAGGGGGAAGTGAGTACTGAGCAGTACTTAAGACAGGACAGCACAAGTGATTTAAATATAACAACCACTGTGATGGGATCCCTGGATTTGAAAGTTCTCATAATCCATCTTATCATTATTCTGGCTGGCTCAATATTTGCTTGGTTATGCTCCCTAAATGTTAGGTCATCAGACATCATTATTCCCAAAGGTGAAGGAAGCTCCATCTGGGTCATCTGCTAAGTTTCAATGTAACTCGAGCATTTTCCCCACTTCATTTCTAGATATTGTACTTCTATGTATTGTACTGTACAGTACTCTAAATTGTTCTCTGAAATCTATATTAAGTCAGGTTTTCTGAAAACCTCTAATTGCACAAATATACTTTGGAACTGGTCATTTAGTGTTTCACACTCATCTTTGCCCTTATTTGTGTCACATTACATACGTGTACACAATTGTCTTCATCATCTACACATTACATACGTGTACACAATTGTCTTCATCATCTACACATTACATACGTGTACACAATTGTCTTCATCATCTACAACCTCATCTAGAGAAGAAACCTGACCAACATTAAACTCCAGAATATTTTCTTCTAGATTTCTTTGAAGAACTTGACATTTAAAAGTACTTTTACAAGCCTCATGTGGCAATCTAACTATACAAGGATTGTAATGGGAGAAACCTGGCTCAGTGAATGTTATCACCAAGTCTGCTGTTAGTACCTTAAACATGTGATGAAGAACACTATGATTATCAACATCCAAAGTTGCACTCAACAAAACAACACGGCATTAATTAATGCCTCAACTTTCGGCTTCCTCAACATCCAATACTGTAACATACTTATGAGTCATAATTGCTATGTAATTATGACAATATAGCACTTGGAAGGGATTTGATGACATGAAGACAGAGGGAAGGAATGATGCCCAACCACTTGAACCATCAGCGATCAAGTTTCAAACTGCAAGAAGAAAGGCCATCACTGTCCAAGTGGTTGGGTCTTCAAGATCCAAATTGGCTGTGAACTGCGTACAGTTCCCACATACAGAATTCTGAGTACAAAATGATAGAAAGACAGCTGAACAACTCACCTGGGAAATGTTTAGAGGGTGTGGCAGAAAGGAGTGTTGCCTGTTAAGGGGAAGCGCAGGGGGATGAGAGTTGATGATGGCGGCCGTAGGTTGCGTAGCAGGCAGACCACAACCACTGCTCATGGTGGTGGCAGATGGTGGCGGTGTGGCGGACCCAAGTGCCGCTGAAGAACCCGTTGATGGCAAGTAGCTCAGCCCGCACCCCAAGTTGTCATCCTCGCCTCTGTTGACAAAGGTCACAGGTTTACTAAAGCAAAATGTACACGTTACACCTTCATTGACTACTACTACTTTAACATTCATGAGCATGAATTTAAAATATGTTGACATGCACAGTAATACTAAAAATGGTAACCAAGAATTAGGCAAACAATATAAATTAAAATGAACTAAAAACAGAGGTAGAGTATAGTCCTGCAGTGCAGGACTATACTCTTAGTTGATGTGGACCAGCTTCTCAGACCAAATACTGTTGCCTCTTATCATTCAGCCTTGGCAGAACCACTGTCGTCTGTGTTTGGTGTCAATGTTTCGTTGACACAGCTTCGCAAGCTGCTATGAGCATTTTTTCACATCCAACTTGCTTACACTCCTGAGCTTTCTTGGTCTCTGGATAAGGGTTGCCATTCTCTCTTCTTGGTTTTCTGTCGCCCCTTCAGCCAAGGATTGTTTTACAAATCTCCATTTTTCTCGCCCGCCCACACTTCCAGTAGTAGGGCGGGGAGCTTAATGCTCTACTCCAGAAACATTTTTTTTTTTTATCCTCAGAGTTACCTGGTTGATACCTGCTTGATGGGGTTCTGGGAGTTCTTCTACTCCCAAAGCCCGGCCTGAGGCCAAGCTTGACTTGTGAGAGTTTTGTTCACTAGGCTGTTGCTTGGAGCGACCAGCAAGCCCACATATCCACCACAGCCTGGTTGGTCCGGCACTCCTTGGAGGAAAGAATCTAGTTTCCTCTTGAAGATAACGTTCGATGTGGTCCTTGGCTTTTTGGGGCTGGTTGCTTTGGGTGATTCATCTGCTGAGTTCTCAGGGTTTGGCTTTTCTGGTGGTTCACGTTCAGGGGGTGTCCAACGTCCTGGCAGACAGCCTGTTTCGGTTTGTTCTCCTGTCCACAAATTGGACGGTCGATGCCAACTCCTTCAGTTGGCTCTGCCAGACGTTCGGGGGCCTGGATGTGGACCTCTTTATGTCGGTGTCTTCCTGTATATGTAGAGCTCTTCCTCGACTGCAACGCCATTGGGGTCAATGCCTTTTGGCAGGACTGGTCGAGGTGGGGGGGTTCCTGTACCTCTTTTCCCTGGTTCAGCTGTTGCTCCAGGTCCTGGCTTGCTTGGAGACTTACCAGGGGAGAGTAGTCCTCTTGGCCCTTTGGTGGCCGGCTCAGCCTTGGTTTCAGGCACTGCTTGCTCGGTGTCCGAACCCGGAGGTTTTCCCACGGTTCCGCTTCTTTCAGCAGATCGGTCCGGACCGTCAGGTGGCTGGTTTGATTTTCTCCTCGAGTCTTCGCGTTTGGTCTTTTTGAATTGGGTCTATTACCATCTGTATGGTGATTTGGTGGCATCCTTGATGGTGTCTGACTTGCGGGCTTCGTCTCGGCGGCAGTATGAAGTTTCCTGGTGGTCCTTTCGTTTCTTTCTCTCGCTTCATAGGTATTCTACGATCTCGGTTTGGGTTTTCTTGTCCTTTCTCTCGTGGTTGTTTTAAGACCGTCATCTTATGCCTAATACTGTCACTTCGTATCGTGCGGCGTTGGCAGAGCCGCTACAGCTTGCTTTTGGTTTTGATGTTACTTCAGCGCCATTTCGCACGCTGTCTCGTGCGTTGCTTCACCTCCGGCCTGCTCATGCGCCGCTTGAGCTGTCCTGGCCCTTGGATCGGGTGCTTTCTTTTCTCTCTTCTCCTCGGTTTGTTGTGTGTGGCCCCCATTGGTTCAGAATTATTTTTCTAAGGCTCTTTTCCTGTTGGCATTGGCCTCTGGGGGGCTGGGTCGGGGAGCTTCATGCTCTCCTCTGACACAGGGGGTTTCTGCTCTTTTTTGTCCTCTTGATAGGTTTGTTCAGTTGCAGCTGTCTCCTTTTTTTTTTTGGCGAAGAATGAGATGGCTGCTTTCCAGAGGGGTCCTTGGGTTGTTGATGCTTGGTTGGTCAGGCCGGGGGTGCATCATGTGTTGTGTTGGTTGCGGCTCTCCGCCGTTACTTGCACGCCACGGTTTCCGTGTCCGGGGATGCGCTTTGGGTTGATCCGGTTTCCCGTCTTCCCTGTTCCAGGCGCAAGTCAGTCCAGCTAGCCTCCGGTCTATCTCCGTGCCCATGACGTTCGTAAGTATGCTGCTCTTGCTGCCGTCTTTGGCAACATGTCTTGGGCTGACATTCAGGCGCAGGGTTTTTGGCTGTTGAACAGGGTCCTGGCTGCCCATTACTTAGTTAATGTTCCTGGGCCTGTGTTGTTTTGGGTAGGCGGTTGCAGCCAGCTGTCTCACATGAGACATGAGCACCAGAGCAAAGCTCGAACTGAGATCGTAGAATACAGTGGCACCTCGACATACGATTGCCCCTACTTACGATAATTTTGAGTTATGATGTAAATTTCATCGAAAAATGTGACTCGACATCCGATATTTGTTGGTACACGTTCGGGTCGACCGAGCACATGGTTCCCAGTCACGCGGCCGACCTGCCTCAGTTTACTACAGCTGCCCACTTAGTGACAATGGCGCCTATAAGAAATTCCGCTTTTGTGGTGATTTTTTGCATTTTGAACATTAAAGTAATTATCATATATCATGCCATGAGTCCCAGGAAAGTCAGTGGTAAGGCTCAACATATGAAAACCCATGTAAGGATGACCATAGAGCAGAAACAAGAGTACAGAATGTCTCTTTCTCAACAATTAACACTCGGTCACCTGGCAGGCGCACGGTCAACTTAGGGGTCATGCACCCGACGTGCGGGCGAGCGTGCGGGTAAGCGCGGTGACACCTAAATGTGTATACTCGTTTCAGCTTTCTCACCTTAATTCTCGTGCTACGTCGCTTGTTTTGGTATCATTGTGTTCGCAATTAAATTCCCTACAGGTGTGTATAAATATAATGTCCAAAATCCTGGCGTGACTCCCAACAGCAAAGCCTAAAGTCGGCAAAAGTTACTCGTGAGCGCACAAAATCAGTAAAATGTGCATACTCGTTCCATTTTTCTCACCTTAATTCTTGTGCTACGTTGCTCGTTTTGGTATCATTGTGTTCGCAATTAAATTCCCTACAGATGTGTATGAATATAATGTACAAAAGTTTGGAGTGCCTCCCCGCAGAAAAGCCTAAAGTTACCCGTGAACGAGCACCAATTTGTACACCACAACCTAATGTGTATACTCGTTCAGTTTGATAACATCAATTTTCGTGTTACGTCTTTCATTTTGGTATCAAATTGTTCGTAATAAAAAGGCGCATATTTTAAAACTAGTCCCATAATAATAGAGCAATAACTGGAATTTTAACAAATATTTTAATTCTGGAAGCTTATCATCACAAAATTATTTATATCTTTCCAGTGTTCTGACATAAATTTTTCTGTTGCATCTTTCATTTTGGTATCAAATTGTTCGCGACATAAAGGCGCGCATTTTAAAACTAGTCCCAACATAATAGCACAATAAATAGAATTTTAACAAATATTTTAAAATTTTGACCAAAAACCTATTTATAATCATATAAGTGTTCAGACATCAAGTTTCATTTTACAGCTTTCATTTTGGTATCAAATTGTGCGCATTCTAAAGGCGCTTATTTTGATAATATCCCGAGGTCGATTGGATAAAAAATGAATTTTATACAAATATTTTTTGTAGTGGACGCAAGTCCGGTCCAAAGTTAGGATTCAAGAGAAAAATAATGGACGAGAGTCCAGTCCAAAGTTACAGATAATGTTAACTTGACAAATTTGTAGTGAGACAAACAAGCACTGAACTACAACCAGGTCCTAGTGGTATTGAGGCAAAACGTAGGAGAGAGAGTACCCCAGAGAAAACATCACTGCCTGATGTGATAATGGAAGGGGACTCCCTTCCAAACAGTAACAACTCTCCTCCTCCCCCCTCATCACCATCTTCCATACGTTATCAAGAGCCCTCCATAAAGGTAAGAGAAACTTTGGTACTGTATTGTAGTTAGGAAAAACATTGTATTCAGTATAAAATGTATTTGTATGTTAATATTTTGGAGGGTGGGGAACGGATTAATTGAATTCCCTTTATTTCTTATGGGAAAAATCGCTTCGACTTACGATATTTCGACTTACGATCCGTCTCTGGGAATGGATTAGCATTGTAAGTCGAGGCCCCATTGTACCTACAAAGCTCCCCCTCCCTCCCCCCCTCATGTCTCAGCTTTGTGTTGAGGAGCGAGCAATGACCGCCTCCTGGGGTAAGTCCCTCTCGTTTTCATCTTTTGGTAAGTAGCTCCAGGGAGCCGACTGGGCTCCCCCCCTCCAGAAAACCAGAGTTGAATGTAATGAAATGCCATTTTCTGGGTGAGACCCAGAGGCTCCCCGGCAACCCTCACTCCCTCCGGTCACCAGTTTTTTGCGTGTTTTTGATATCGAGCCTCAGAACTGGGGTCATGGAGAGCCCGGTGTGAAGGGTCTGGGGCTCCCCTCTCCCTGGGAGGTGGGAGCAGATGGCAGCGCGGTGACGTGGTGACGTCATGCTCATTTGCTCGTTTTTGTTTGGGGTCGTTCTGTCCGCTAGTTTGGACCTCAGTAGCAATTTCTTAACCAAAATAGTGGTTTGTTTTGGGACGCTTACCTTTCTGGGTGCATGGGGGGGGGGGGGTCTCTATAGGTCATTGCTCCTCATGCCTCTCTGTGAGGGTCAGGTTCTGGCGCGTGGTCCCCCAGTAGGCTTAAGAATTCCATTCACACTGACTGATGCTAAGGTCAGCCTGGATAGCGATATCCAGCAAAATTAGCAGAATCAGCCAGGATAGCTCCGGGGAGCTTCCGGGTCTCACCCAGAAAATGGCATTTCATTACATTCAACGCTGGTTTTATATAAATATAAACAGAAACTATAAACTGCCTGAAACGCTATGCGTGTTAATGGCTTTGTAAGAATGTAAAAATAATTTTTTCAATGTAATTTCACAAACCCATTGTACCTTCTTGTAAATAAAATTTATTATTATTATTATTGTAAGTGATAAAAGCATAACCTACAATACTGTCTTTCAAAACCATTGTGAAATTGTATAACTTTATTAATAAAACATACCTCTGAAAAGTTTTAAAGCGACACAGAAAAATTCTGCCAACCCTTTCCTTTCTAAACTTTAAGTTTGCCGATGCTCTCAGGTACAGTACAGGTGTGAAGGCCTAGACACTTATCTATTTATTTATTTATTTATTTATTTATATATATACGGTATATACAAAAAGGTACATTGGGTTTATAAGAGTACATAGCATTGATGTTTTTACATTCCTGTATAGCCACTAGTGTGCACAGCATTTTGGGCAGGTCCTTAATCTAGCAGATAATATTAAGTAGATAATTTATGGCAAATTTATAAAATGATAAGTGGTACATTGTAAGAAAATTTAACAAAGATTAAAGGGTACATTAGAGTAAAATTTGAGGGTTATAACAGGTACATGGGAGCATAATTTGAGGATTATTTCAAGGTATAATGCAATAAATTATTTGTTCAGTACAAAAACCAAGATATAAGATGATAGCAATGATTACAATGGTAAAGTTGTATGGCTTAGGTACATCTTGTATAATATCATCAAAACACCAGTATTACACTTCAAATTTATATTCATTATAAAACATGAAATAAAGTATATTTCTTCCTAGACATCTATTAAACAAATAATGTGGTTTATAAAATTGTTAAGTTATAACATTTTTGCTAGTTCAAACATCTTATTGGACTGAATAGAAAGTCATATAGTTTTTAATAATACACATTACATTTATGAAAGTTAATAAATCTATACTAATGAAATTTGCTAACCTTCACTTTAAAAGAAAACTTTGGCCTATATATGATAATTATATTGAGTAGTACTGTACCTCAGTTTGCTGGCAACAGATGTGGTTACCCCTGGAAGATCATAGTCTACCAAAATCTCGTCTAGATCCACAAAGTCATCATCGCTAGAGTCCTCTTGTTTTGAACGTGATGGCCTTGTCTTCTCCTCCAAGGCTCGCATTATCTCCTCAAGCGGGTCATCTAGCTCCTCAGAGCACGCTGGAGGAGCTCTTGCTCTCTCTTTAGTGAATTTTGATGTCAGTGGTTTTGAATACCAATTTTGCTCCTCTTGTGTAAACATTAGGGAATTGTACATATCCATTGTATCATCTTCAAGCTGAGGTCTGCTCTTTGAATTAGCCACAACTCTGTTTTCCCCAGACCCACATGGTTTGAGTGCCTTGTTAGTCTCTACTGTGCTGGGAGACAAATTTCTTTTACGGGACAGATTGGGACTTCTTTTGCAGATTTTGTCCCAGGACTCTTCTGCTGCTACAGAAATTGGTCTTCCCGGCTCATCATACTCAAGCAGGTATTCCTTGACATCGGGTGGTTTCATCTCACCATCTCTTTCTCTGCTCCTTTCAACTGGTATGTATAATGCTGTGGGTCGATTCTGTAACTTTTGACGGTCACGTCTTGCTATGTACAGCTGTTCATAAGTCTCTAGTGCTTTCCGGACAGATGGTCTCCTTTCAGTAGTACTGAGAAGAGTTTCGTCTATCTTGTTTTCCTCGGAGTAACTGAGTTTCTGTCCAGTCTCTGAGTCCCTGACCGTGTTTCTGACCAAATCTTCACAAGTTGTGGTGTGGGCTAGTTCCTGATTGAGAGTCTGGTGTTTATAACCTTTACACTGATTACAGTAACTACTTTCTCGACACTTACACTGTTGGAGGGACTTCGATTTTTGCTTCTTGATGCCTCTGTCACCCGCTAACTGGACGGCAGTATCAAGACCTCGGGAGAGTTTTTGTTTTTGATCACCATTTGAAGTACTGATGGAAATCCGTGTTTGGTGATACACAGGAGAAACATTCATGTTCCTTACAACTCGGAAAGAGCAATTCCTTTCAACTACCTTAGCAGACTCTGCTGAGAATCTGCATGATCCTGACCTTGCCAGGGTGTTTTCGTCGTAGCTCTGTGGCCGGTTCCTATTCCTGGTGTCTTTAATTTTGTTAGTTTTTTTCTTATGTGCCATCAAGGGTGCTAAGAAGGGCGTTGGTACCTGCTGTGGGTGTTGACCAGGGTTATCACCATTCACTTGGCGTTTCTCAACCTGCAGCCCCTCGGGTCTCCGGAAGAAACGAAAGGAGGACGAGAGAGAATCTTTCTGCGTCGATTTCTTCCTCAGACCTTCCCTTGTCACCTTCGTGTTGCTCTCTTGCAATGGACAGTGTAAGGACAGGGAGAGATCACTGTCTTTGATGGTCACATGCTTTGCTCTACTCATACTTATATCTTTGGTGACATTTGTGGTAAAGGCTTGTCTCTTCACATTTGTTGGCTGAGAGATATCCACAGATGTATTACTCAGCTTATTTCTGTCTAAACTTGAATGGATCACATGAAATTTTCTGCTATCATTGCCACACCTGTTGACCTTGGTCGAATGCACTTTTCTGTCACTGGAACTTCTTAAAAGGTTCCTTAATCCCTGGCTCTTGAGCTTGCTTTTGCCGTTCGACACATCCTGTCCCAGAAAACTAACTGTATGCAAAGTGTCATCCAAATTCTTGCTACCAAGGGCTTTGGGGGGCCTCTCAGGTGTGTACGATACAGAATTACAGCTGCTCTGACTCAGAGTGATACTCCTATTGCTGCTTCTGTTACTACTAGCCAGACTGTGGCGCGCAACTGCGTTACGATGGAAGACACAAGATTCTCCATAGTCCCCAGTGTCTCTCAGTCCTCCCTGCAGGGAGACGGACGGAGACGAAGCTCGGACTCTGTCTTCGCTACCAGACTTGGTGACAGATGATAGGGGCAGGATAGGAGTGCTGGCTGACGTACTGCTATCAGAATATCTGCTGGTGACCTTACTCTCACCTGTCCTCAACAAGTGGCTGGTAGCGTGAACAAGAACTGGAGTGCTGATAGAAGAACCTGGAGGGACCTCGAAATGAACTCCAGCAGTGTGGCTCTTCTTTCCCATTCCACCACCACCACCACCTCCCTTCCGCAGCCTCAGCAACCATTCTGGCACCCTCATTTAAGAGGTCTGCCGGGCTACAAGAAGCCAGCTGGAGCCCCTTGGCACCGTTGATTGCTCATCCTGCCTCTCACTACCTCCATTCACCCATCATTGTCCCCTCAGTCATCCACTCGGGATCAACAGCGTGTCTCCATGTTATCGAGCATATTGATAACTAACATTACACTTGTTTAACGCCACTTTCAGTAGCATTACACTTGTTTACCGCCACTTTCAGTAGCATTACACCTGTTTACTGCCACTCTCAGTAATATTACACCTGTTTACTGCCACTACCAGTAATCAGTCACAGGAGCTTTGATACTACAGCAATTTCAGTTGTTTTAACATTTTCCATATAGAGTGCACCTTCGTTAATTTAGTTTATGATGGTCTGTTTGAAGTTTTCTGGAGAACATTTGTTGCACATGTTTAAAATGAGATATTAACTGCTGTAAGACAACATGTGATAGAAACTATCAAATATAGTTACTATCAAATATAAACTTTGATAGGAACAATATGACAACTAATAATATAATAGAGAGAGCACCTTCAGTTGCCTGCAGAAATGGCTCCAGACTTTTAATCATGGGCGACTTCAACCATGGAAAGATAGACTGGGAGAATGGGGACCCACATGGAGGTGCAGATACGTGGAGAGCTAAACTCTTGGAAGTGGCAACAAAGAATGTTCTGAGCCAACTTGTCAGGGAACCCACAAGAATGAGGGGCAATGACGAACCAGCTAGACTCGACCTGATATTCACCTTGAATGAGCCAGACATAAGGAAAGTCAAAATAGAAGCCCCCCACATGAATGAGTGACCACAGTGTATTGACATTTGAGTATCTGGTGGAAGTAGGGATAACCTATCTCTACTTCCTCAGAAAGGGCTCAGAAAGGAAAAGGCTAAAAGGCTTTTATACATGTAGAAAATAATGGAGGGCCAGGTCCCAAATCTACACAGTAAAATAATAACATACTGGAGTGAGCGATATGGAAGAAAATGCAGAATAGAACCAGTGAAGAGCAGGGATGCCAAAGGCACAATCAGAGAACACTGTATAAACATCAGAGGTCCACGGTTGTTCAACACCCTCCCAGCATCTAGAAGAAATATTGCCGGAACAACTGTGGACATCTTCAAGAGAAAACTAGATAGGAGTGCCTCAAGATGCTTCAAGGAGTGCCGGACCAACCAGGCTGTGGTGGATGTGTGGGCCTGCGGGCCGCTTCAAGCAACAGCCTGGTGGACCAAACTCCACAACCAACTACATCACAACCACCATCACCTACATGACAACCACCACCTACACCATAACCACCACCACCACCTACACCATGACCTAGACCTTCAAGGCTTCAAGGTAGTGTACTCAAATATCGATGAGATTACCAATAAAGCAAGTGAACTGGCAGAAAGGGTGCAGGAAGAAAACCTAGATGTAATATCTTAAGTCTTAGTCCCAATCAATATACCTGGTTGATGGGGTTCTGGGAGTTCTTCCACTCCCCAAGCTCAGCCCGAGGCCAGGCTTGACTTGTGAGAGTTTGGTCCTCCAGGCTGTTGTTTGGAGCAGCCCGCAGGCCCACATACCCACCACAGCCCGGTTGGTCCGGCACTTCTTTTAGAAAACAACCTAGTTTTCTCTTGAAGATGTAATAATACTCATGTAAACAAAATTGTCAGGAGTCATAACAGACGCTGTGTTAACATTGGACTACTATATAGTAAGGAAAGAATGGGAAGGGAGAGGAGGTGGAGGAGTGGCCCTGCTGATAAGGAAGGGCTGGAACTTTGATGAGATGGAAATTCCAGGCTGTGACAGATTCAGAGATTACATAACAGGAACTATAACAATGGGTGAACCTAAGTTAATAGTGTCAGTCATTTACAACCATCTACTAAATGACAGAAGACCCAGACAAGAGTTTGATAGGAACAACATGGCAACCAATAATATAAGAGAGAGAGCAGTTTCAGTTGCCTTCAGGAATGGCTCCAGACTTTTAATTATGGGCGACTTCAACCATGGAAAGATAGACTGGGAGAATGGGGGACCCACATGGAGGTGCAGATACATGAAAAGCTGAACTCTTGGAAGTGGCACCAAGGAACTTTCTGAGCCAGCATGTCAGGGAACCCACAAGATAGGTGGGTGAAAGAGCACAGTAGGCTCAGGAATCTGTACATCAGTTGATTGACAGTTGAGAGGTGGGACCAAAGAGCCAGAGCTCAACCCCCGCAAGCACAATTAGATGAGTAAAATTAAGTTAGTACAAGAATGAGAGGCAATGACGAACCAGCTAGACTCGACCTGATATTCACCTTGAAAGAGTCAGAAATAAGAGAAGTCAAATTTGAAGCCCCCATAGGAATGAGTGACCACAGTGTATTGGCATTTAAGTATCTGGTGGAGGCAGGGATAACCTATCCAAGGATGGAATCAGAAGGGAAAAGACTGAGTTACCGAAGAGGAAAATATAATGAGATGAGGAACTTTCTAAGGGGAATACCATGGGAAACAGAACTCAAGAGAAGAATGTACAGGATATGATGACTATGTCACCCAGAAACGCCAGGAAGCTGCAGATAGATTTATCCCAGTCCAAAAGGAGAAAAGCGAATAGCAATAAAAGGATCTATGGTTCAACCAGGAATGTAAGGTAGCGAAGCAATTGAGTAAAAGAACATGGAGAAACTACAGGAATAACAGAACGCCAGAGAGCAGGGAGAGATACCAGAGGGCAAAAAGTGAGTACCTCAGAGTGAGGAGAGAAGCAGAGAGGCAGTATGAAAATGACATCACTAGTAAAGCTAAAACCCAACCAAAACTGCTCCACAGCCACATCAGGAGGAAAAACAGCGGCGAAGGAACAAGTGATGAAACTGAGAGAAGGGGAGAATGACAAGGAGGTGTGTGATGAACTCAACAAGAGATTACAGGAGGCCTTCAAATAGAACACGGAGAAGCCCTTGCCCTAAATGAGGCGGTGGCAAACCAAGCAATCTTGGAGGCTTTTGACCTCACCTGTGATGAGGTCAAAAGGAATCTGTTGGAGGTGAATGTGTCAAAAGCTGTTGGGCCTGACAGAATCTCATCGTGGATACTAAAGGAAAGTGCAAAAGCACTTTTTAATGCTTTTTAAAGAAGTTTAAGGAGCATAACCAAGCAAATATTGCTTCAGCCAGAAAAATGATAAGGATGGATTACGAGTCCATCCTATCATTTTTCCATTTCCTTCAAATCCAGGGATCCCATCACAATGGTTGTACTCTTCAAATCACTTGTGTTGTCCCGTCTTAAGTACTGCTCAGTACTCACTTCCCCCTTCAGAGCAGGAGAGATTACTGAAATAGAGGGAAAACAGAGAACATATACGGCACGCATAGACGAGATAAAGCACCTAAATTATTGGGATCGTCTCAAAGCTCTCCAAATGTACTCACTAGAAAGAAGACGAGAGAGATACCAAATAATATACACATGGAAAATACTGGAAGGCCAGGTCCCAAATCTACACAGTAAAATAATGACATACTGGAGTGAACGATATGGAAGAAAATGCAGAATAGAACCAGTGAAGAGCAGAGGTGCCATAGGCACAATCAGAGAACACTGTATAAACATCAGACGTCCACGGCTGTTCAATGTCAAACCAGCGACTATCAGAAATATTGCCGGAACAACCGTGGGCATCTTCAAGAGAAAAATAAACTGTTTTCTCTAATGAGTGCCGGACCAACCGGGCTGTGGTGGGTATGTGGGCCTGCGGGCTGCTCCAAACAACAGCCTGGTGGACCAACCTCTCGTAAGTTAAGCCTGGCCTCGGGCCGGGCTTGGGAGTAGAACAACTCCCAGAACCCCATCAACCAGGTAAGCACTAAGTGTGCCACTCTATGGTGTATAACAGGCCACTGGAAACAGGAGACCTTCCGGAAAGCTGAAAGACAGCTAACGTGGTCCCAATATACAAAAAGGGTGACAGGCAAGAGGCACTGAACTATAGGTTAGTTTCCCTAACTTGTATACCATGCAAGGTAATTGGAGAAGATCGTGAGGAAAAGGCTCGTAGAGCATCTGGAGGGAAATAACTTTGTAACACGCCACCAGCATGGGTTCAGAGATGGTAAATCGTGCCTCACAGGTTTAATTGAATTCTATGACCAAGCAGAAAAAATTAGGCAGGAAAGAGAAGGGTGGGCCGACTGCATTTTCTTGGACTGTCAGAAAGCGTTTGACACAGTATCTCATAAAAGGCTGTTAAAAAAAAAGTTGGAGCAACAGGCAGGAGTAAAAGGGAAGGTGCTCCAGTGGATAAGGGAGTATCTAAGCAACAGGAAACAGCGAGTAACGGTGAGGGGGGAGACGTCAGAGTGGCGAGATGTCACCAGCGGAGTCCCACAGGGCTCAGTACCTGGACCCATCCTGTTTCTAATACAGTATATGTAAACGATCTTCCAGAGGGTATAGATTCATTCCTCTCAATGTTTGCTGATGATGCAAAAATTATGAGAAGAATCAAGTCAGATGAAGATACACAGAGACTAAAGGACGACCTGGACAAACTAGAGGAATGGTATAGAAAATGGCTGCTAAAGTTCAACTCAGGAAAGTGCAAATTAATGCAATTTGGCGAAGGGAGCAGAAGGCTGAACACAAGGTACCATCTGGTAGGTAAAATCTTGCAAGAGTCAAATAGAGAGAAAGATCAGGGGGTTGATATCACGCCGAACCTGTCCCCAGAGGCCCACATCAAAAGGATATCATCAGCGGCATATGCTAGATTGGCCAACATAAGAACTGCCTTTAGAAAGTTGTGCAAGGAATCGTTCAGGACCCTGTATACCACTTATGTCAGACCAATCCTGGAGTATGCAGCTCCAGCCTGGAGTCCATACCTAGTTAAACAAAAGACAAAGTTAGAGAAGAGTCAGCAGTATGCCACCAGACTCGTCCCGGAACTGAGAAGTTTGAGCTACGAGGAAAGGCTAAAGAAGCTGAACCTCATGTCCATGGAAGACAGA